GGGCGGCCGCCTGGGCCACCTGGGCGGTCGTGCTGATGCCCGGCTTTCGCCGCGTCCCCCTGCGGCTGCAGGTACCCCCCGACACCACATCCCCCCCCGGCCCCCGTCACCGCCCTCCTCGCCCCGACCCCCCGCCCTGACCCCCCTGTGCCCCCACAGGTGCCCTACCAGCCCTCCAGCCCCCGGCAAGTGGCGAACGCCCTGGCCCTGCTGCGGGGACGCGCGGGCAAGACGGTGGATCTGGGCTCGGGAGATGGACGGCTCGTAAGGGCTGGCTCGGGGGATGGGCTCGGGGGGGGGCTTTGGGGTGCCCGGGGTGGGCAGAGGGCAGGGAGGGTGGATGGGACACCCACACACACGGGCTGTGGGTCTGGATGGTCCTCCTGGCTGTGGTATGGGACCAGAGGGTCCTGGGTGGTCCTAGGTTGTTCCAGAACAAACTCGATGGTCCTAAATGGCCCTAGATGACCCTATATAGTCCTAAATGGCCACAGACAGCTGTCCTAAATAGCCCTCTATAGTCCTAGACTGTTCTAGGTGGTCCTAGATAGTCCTAGATGGCCCTAGACAGCCTTAGGTGGTCCTAGGTGGCTCTAGATAGTTGTATGTGATCCTAGACAGCCCTAGAAGACATCACATGCAGGGAGCAGGGTGGAAATGCATGCTCTGGAAGGTGCTGGGAACCAAGGTCCCCCTGCCCGTGAGCCAGCTTGGAGGGAGGGAGTGGAGCTGGGCAACGGCCCCTGGCCCCCCAAATCACTCCCCCAGACTCAACACTGAGGTCCTTTGAGTTTCAACTCTCTTCCCTCTCCAGGTGGTCGAGGCTTACAAGCAGGGCCTGAGGCCAGCCCTGGGCTATGAGCTCAATCCCTGGCTGCTGTGTCTCGCCAAGTACCGCGCCTGGAGGGCCGGGTACCACGGCAAGGTCTCCTTCTTGAAGGAAGATCTGTGGAAGGTAACAGTGTCCCGAGGGTCTGGCTGTGCCAGGGCAGGGCCAGGGCTCTGTCTGCATCTCCAGGCTGGCTTTGCTGGTGGCTGCTTGCTGATTCCCCAGGGAAGAGAAAAACCACCCTGCTTTCCAGGGGAATGGCAGAGCTCCTTCTTGGGGCGGCTTTGAGGAGAGAGGTCTGGGTGCTTCTGACACGGTGACGAGCTTCTAAGGCTAACATCAGGTACCCGCAGCCTGACTGGAGAGAATCCATCAGGGAATGTGGTTCTGGGATGGTGCTGGAGGCAGGTGTTTTCCAATAGGTGCTGCTTTCACACCCACACATCCCCATCCCACATGTCTTGGGGCATCTTTGCACCCTCCGAGGTTCAGAAGAAGATTATCCATAAGGCTTGGACGCTTAGATGGTTCCCCTTGCTCCCCCTGTGCCTGTTGCTTCTTTCATTCCCCTTTTCCTGCTCTTTTAAGGTGGATCTTTCTGACTGCAACAATGTGATCGTCTTCCTGGCCCCCAGCGTGGTGAGTTGGTCCCTCGCATTCTGAGTTGTTCAGGGGGAGCTCGAGGAGGGTTTTCTTGGAAAAGAGGGGGGATCTGGGACAGAATAAGGCCAAGTGGGCATTGCTGTGAGCGAGTGGTTTGGTGCTCAGCAGCACCGGGATTTATAAAACCATGGAATTGTTAAGCTTGGAAAAGCCCCCCGAGATCATCAAGTCCAACCATTCCCCCAGCACTGCCAAGGTCACCACTGACCCCTGTCCCCAAGTGCCACATCCACAGGGCTGCTCCAGGGATGGTGAGCCCACCCCTGCCCTGGGCAGCTGTGCCAGGGCCTGGCCACCCTTTCTGTGTAGAAGTGTTCTCAGTATCAAATCTAAACCTCCCCTGGCACAACTTGAGGCTGTTTCTTCTTGTCCTGTGGCTCATCACTCCTAGTCCCAGCCTTACACCGAAGCCAGCACCAGCCCTGTGCTTTGAATGCTTGATGCACCTGCTTGGGACCCGCTGGCTGTGCCCAGAAGCTGCCCTGTGGTCCCTGGTGGCACTGCCACTACGTGACCATGTCCTAAGGTTGCCTGGCCCTGGCTCTTCTCTCCCCAGAAACCTCCCTTGGCCACGAAGCTCCTGGCAGAACTCCCCGACGGGGCCCGGGTGGTGTCTGGACGCTTCCCCTTCCCTTCCTGGACCCCCAGCAGCACCCTGGGGCAGGGGCTGGAGCAGGTCTGGGCCTATGACATCAAGGAGGTGCGTCAAGCAGCACAGAGCAGCGCCCAGGGAAGCCCAACCTGACAGCAGCCTCGTTAGGCTCAGTCTAACACCAGCCTCGTTAAGCCTGGCATTAAGGGTCAGAGCCTCTCCAGCCCTAGGCTCAGCTCAGGACAGCAGTGCTTGGCCAGGATTTGTCCTGGGGACTTGCAGGGTGGCAGTCACTCAGTTTTCCAAAGAGTTTGGGAGAAGCAAGGGAGTTAAAAAATCAGACCAGGAAATCCTGTGATTAACGCAAGATTGAAGGACTAAAGCTCCAGTGGCTCTTTCTATATGTTGGCTACTTTATTTAATTTTTCAAAATAAATATTTGGTTGGTTGTTCCTTTGAGGTTTTTGGTTCGCCTTTGAGCTGCAGGACAATCCTGGACCCAGAGCATCCATCCGTCCTGGACTCTTGTCTTTGCTCCACCATCCCTTAGAAGGTAACACAGAGGGAGTGTGTCCAGCTCACCTCCCCTGAAGGATCAGCTTGGCCCCGCTCATCTATGTAACGTTCCATTTTCCACTCAAACACAGAGGAAAAAAGGGTTTTCCCACCACAGAATCTTAAGATCATGGAATGGTCTGGGTGGGAAGGGACCTTAAAGCCCATCTCATTCCACCCCCTGCCATGGTCAGGGACACCTTCCACCAGCCCAGGTTGCTCCAAGCCCTGTCCAGCCTGGCCTTGGACACTTCCAGGGATCCAGGGGCAGCCACAGCTTCTCTGGGCAACCTGTGCTAGGGCCTCCCCCTCCTCACAAGTAAAAAGCAGCTCATTCCTTTGTCCAGCCTCAGAGTGGCTTGAGCCAGCCTTGGCTCCATCTCACGGGAGCTGGGAGGGGAGGGGAGCGAGGCAGGAGCAGCCCTCGGGCTCTGGTCCAGGTCTCAGCCAGCAGAAATGTTCCAGCAGGAACAGGAACCTGTCCCTGCAGCCTGGCATTAAAGAGCTGCCTGGGAACCTGAGCCCGTGTCCGTGATGTGCTCGGGGAACAGCAGAATTCCTGCAGCCCGGGGATAGGCGAGGAAAGACGAGACACAGTTGTCTTGTCTCGTTTTAGTGCTGTGAACTCGAGACGGGGAACACCCACATGCTTTCCTTCGCAGCTCCCAGCCTGGGCAGGGTGCTTGCCCGGCAGTCCACAGAACACAAACCTCCTGCTTCGAATCCTGCCCCTCCCCACGCTGGTGCTGCCGTGGATCGTGGAGTGCTATGGATCATGGCTGGCAGTCCTGGCCCTGGGCAGGGGGGGAGCAGCAGCTGCCCTGGCACTGAGCACACGTGGCCCCTCGCTGCCCTCGGCGTTCCTGAGCTGCAGGATCTCCCGCTTGTACCTGCAGTGGGAAGCAGCACAGTGTCCCCAGGCACTGAGCCATGCCTGGCAAGTGGGAACCCCCAGCCTTTCATCTCTAAGGTGTTCACGGGCTCTGCAGAGAGCCCTGACCCGACTTCCCAGCTGGGGAGGTGGATCATGCTCCACCAGACAGGCCCTGCCCCAGGAGCTGCTCTCCCTGCTCCAGGGCAGGATGAGCCGAGGAGAGAGGCTGGGCATGTGGCTGGGCATGTGGAAAAAGGGCTGGTGGCAGCTGCCTGCACAGCTGGAGGCGCAGCAGGACATCAGCCGTGCTGGCAGTGCTGTGGCTGTGCCAACAGCGGGCACTGGCAGTGTGGTGGGCACCGTGATGTCCCTGGCAATGAGCCTGGAGGTAAACTGGGAGCGCAGGGCAGAGCAGGGGGACCTCACCACCTCACCTGGCAAGATGCTGATCTATGTACTCCTGCAGCTCCAGCACCTGCTCCTCTGCCACGACAGCCCGAGTCAGCAGCTGGCTCCTCTCCTGCTCCAGATCCTCCTGGAGGGGCAGAGAAACAGGGAGAAAACAGGGAGAAAACTGAGGCTGAGCTCTCCCAGCTCCCTCTGGTGCTCCCGCTGCTCCAGCCCCTTCCCCAGCTCCATTCCCTCTCTGCACATGCTCCAGCCCCTCAATGTCCTTTTTGTCACGAGGGGCCCAAAACTGACCCCAGGACTGGAGGTGCCTCAGCAGTGCCAGCACAGGGGACAGGCACCCCCAGTTTGTTATAGAGATTCCAAGATGCTTGTTCTGAAACATAGGCAGGAGTGATGAGGGGCTGCTCTCCTTCCTTTAGCAGCAGGGACAGCAGGGCCTTGAGACATCACCTGCTGGGACTTGTCAGCATCACTTGGTGGGCCGAGGCCAAAGCCACAGCAAGGCTTCATGGAAAGTGGTCCCCAGGCAGTGGTCACGGCCCCAAGGCTGCCAGAGCTCCAGGAGTGTTTGGACAGTGCTCTCAGGGACAGGCTGGGATTGCTGGGGTGTCTGTGCAGGGCCAGGAGTTGGACTGGATGATCCTTGGGTGTCCCTTCCAACTTGGGATATTCAGTGATTCTGTGAAAGTTTCCCCACTCCAGCCTGGAGCAGCACATCAGGCCCAGGGCAGCACATCCTTGCATGTGGGTGAGGGATAAGCTTTCACTCCAACAGGCTGTTCCAGACCTTTACCTGGGTGGTGTGTGCCAATTCCCGGAGCTGCTTCCGGACCTCTGCCCAGCCCTCCTCGTCCAGCTGCCTACGACAGAAGAGCATATTTGGATCATGCCCAGCTATCAAATCCAGCCCACCCACAGCTCACACAACTCATGCCCATCCCACCATGAAGCCCAGCCCTTGATCCTTTCCTCTCCCGACGCCCAGACCTCTTCAGGGCATGTGGCACCATCCCTGTGCCCAGGCACGGGAGTCACGGCCCTTCTGCCAAGCTTGGGATTCCCCACCAGGGCAGCTGGGCCTGGTCCAAATCACATCATCACTCGCTCGTTGGAGGCCTCTGTGCGTGCAGAGAGAGCCCTGAACCTGCCACTGCAGGGCTGAGTCTGGTGGGAACAGAGAGCCATCAATGCCAGAGGCTGGCGCTGGGAGCACAGCCCGTTCTGGTCAGCGAGCACGATAGGTGAGCTGTCTGCTCGGCCCGGCGTGGGAAAGCCCTTCCCACTCCCTCCCAGTCTGAGCGAGGAAAATAACAGGTCCCATCTGATGCTCGGGGAATTTGGGCTGTGTGAAGGGAGGAATGCATTGTGCTCCCTTCCTGGGGCTGCAGCTTCCCAGCCCAGGGAGATCCCGGCTGGGATTCCGTGGGAGTGAGAAGACAAGGGGACAATAATCAGGGAGTCCATGCAGCTGATAAGCCTCCACGGCGTGGGGGGCGTGGAATGAGATGGTCTTTAAGATCCATTCCAACCCAAATCATTCTGTGATGTTATGATAAAAGCAAGAAGCAGGAATTAGAGCTTGTGCCTGAGACCCTTGCAGAGCGCAGTGGCTCTGGCACTGACCCACTCCTCGGTGCTGGCACCCAGCTAATGGAATACCTGACGTGTTTTCTGGGTGCCCACATCTTAAAATGCTGAAAAATCCCAGCTCAGGTTTCCCCTACGCTTTGTTCCAGCTCTCCACAGCTATAGCTGTTCGAGTTTCAGCAGAAAAATAGAGCAGGGAGAAGAGACTCATCAAAAAATGAGCAAATCCAGAGCTTGTTGGGAAGGCAGGGAGGCATCAGCATGATGGCACCGAAGGGTTCCAGCCCAGCTCCTGCGCTGGGAGGGAGGAGAAACAGGACCATCCCAAACTGGTGGTGTTCCGTAGCGCTTTCTCGGGTTGTGATCCACCAAAGCACTTGGGCATATGCTTAATGTCAGCTTCTAAAGAGGTCAGTGGGACTATAAACAGGATTAAATCAAATATATGCTTAAGAGCTTTCTTGGATCGAGGCCCAAATGACCAGCTCTCTTCCCCCCGGGAAGGGCTGTGCTGAGGGGACAGCCAGCTGTTCTCCCCAGAGCAGGCCCAGGAGCTTCCTTTCTCCCTGTTTATTGCTGTCTCCAAGCAAGCAAAAAAGATTCCTCAATGCACACATTAAGGAGAGTTTGGAATGAGAGATATCCTCTGAGACAAACAGCACTTACTGCTCTGGAGGCAGTGGAGAGGCAGAGGCTTCTTTCAGTCTTTTCTGGAGGCAAAAGAAGAGCAGGATTCCCGTAAGCATTCAACCATTGCTATCCCAGATCCTGCCACCTTCGTAGAAATCATGTCATGGAATGGGCTGGGTTCAAAGGAACCTCAAAGCTCATCCAGTCCCACCCCCTGCCACGGGCAGGTACACTTTCCACCAGCCCAGGTTGCTCCAAGCCCCCTGACATGGCCTTGGACAGTTCCAGGGCTGGGCAGCCACAGCTTCTCTGGGCAACCTGTGCCAGGGCCTGCCCACCCTCATAGGGAAGAATTTCTTCCTAATATCCAATCTAAATCTCTCCTCTTTCAGTTTAAATCTGTTCCTCTTGCCCTATCACCCTCTCCCCCTGTAAAAACTCTCCCCCTTTTTTGTAAGCCCCCTCAGAAGTGGCACAACATACCCCAACACTCCCACAGCCACCACTGCCCTGGCAAGGAAATGATGTGCCATAGAATCTTAAGGTTTTAGATCTCCTATCCTCCAACTTTTTAAATAAATGCATCCCATGCAAATCAAGGGATGTTCCTCCCATCCCTGGAAGTGTCCAAGGCCAGGTTGGATGGGGCTTGGAGCAATCTGGGCCGGTGGGAGGTGTCCCTGCCCATGGAGGAACAAGATGAGCTTTTAAGGTCTTTTCCAACCCAAGTCATTTGGGGATTCCATGATTCTGTGACTGGGAGATGACTGAAATATTCCCTGCCTGTGCCATGGGCAGAGCAAATCCTCAGGGAGAGGGTGGATGTGGCACCTGGGAACGTGGTTTAGCGGTGGCCTTGGCAGTGCTGGGGGAATGGCTGGACTTGATCCTGGAGGGCTTTCCCAACCTAAACAACCCTGTGAACGCCTAAGAAAGGGGCTCAGTGTCACCTGCAAGACTCTCCCCACCACCCACCCCGTTTCCCTGCCCAGCCTTCACCTTTTGCTGTTCCTGGAGCTGCATCTCCAGCCTCGCCTTTTCCTCCCGCAACCGGTTCAGCTCCCGGGTGGAGTTTGTGAGCAGCTCTGGGTCTGAGATGCAGAAGTGGAGCTCAGCAGGGCCACAATCCACAGCACTGCTCCCCAGGGACCGGATCTGCTCTCGCTGGAGCCTGCAATGTGCCAGAGGGGTCAGTCTCTGGTTGTTTTTTTTGGGTGACAACACTGAGCAGTCCTGCTGCTCCTGGAGGTACCGTTCCCTTGGGACCCGCTGGTTTCTGGCCACCTGCAAAGGATAAGTGGGAGCATTCCTGGGAGAGTTTCTGAGGGGAGCTTGTCCTAGAGCTATTTGTGGCTTTTATACCACAAGTATTTCTGCAGCTTCCCACAGCCCAAGCTGCTGAGAGCGGAGCTGAAAGCACTGCAGGGACGGGCTGGGAGGTGGAGCTATTTGTGGTACCTCTGCATTTCCACACCATCCAACGTGGGATCAATCTCTCACCCTGAATTTTACGTGGGAGAAACATATGTGCAAAGCAGCTCCACGGTGTCCAGAGCTCCCTGACGTGCAGCTGGAGGCACCTCCGTCCTGGATTGTCAGGAGCAGGGAGAACGTGTGCTCCACATCCCCTGCTCCCCCCGGGAGCCCCATTTGCCTCCCTCTAGGACACTGGGGTGGATGTGTGGGGCACTTCACTTGCTCCTGAAGGCAGAGGCGGCCCAAGGCCTGTCTGAGCCTTACCCATAGGCAATCAGCAGGTTCTGGTGCTTCTTCACCAAGTCCTTCATGCGTTTCTTGTACCCCCGTGCTGCCCGAGCCAGCTGCTCTTCCCGAGACTTGTAGGAAGCCCGGATATCCTTCAGCATGTTGTCCACAAAGTGCTTCATGGCAGCGTGATCAGCTGGGGCTTTGCTGTGTCCTGTCATGTGGCTGGATTTGCTGTCCATGTAGTTCTGTAAATGTACAGACAGAGGAATCGAGGGGGAATGGCTTCCCACTGACAGAGGGTTGGGTGGGATACTGGGAAGGAATTCTTCCCTGTGAGGTTGGGGAGGCCCTGATGCAGGTTCCTCAGAGAAGCTGTGGCTGCCCCAGCCCTGGAAGTGTCCAAGGCCAGGCTGGACTGGGCTTGGAGCAACCTGGGCTGGTGGAAGGTGTCCCTGCCCATGGCAGGGGGTGGAATGAAATGATCTTTAAGGTCCCTTCCAACCTAACCCATTCTATGATTCTAAGCCAGCCCACCTCTGCACCCAGTTTTCCTGTATGGCCCTGCAAAATGATCTGTGAGTTTATTGCTGGGATTTTTCTTGGTCAGATAACTGGGATTGAAAGATCCTCTGATTCACTTATTTAGTCTTATTTATTTGCAGCAGCCTGCAAGAGGAGGGCAGCCAGCATGGAGAGATCTGAGGGAACAGCTGTGTCAGGGCAGGCTCAGGGTGGATCTCAGGGAAAGGTTCTTCCCCCAGAGGGTGGTTGGCACTGAACAGGCTCCCCAGGGCAGTGGGCACAGCCCCAAGGCTGCCAGAGCTCCAGGAGGGTTTGGACAACGCTCTGAGGGACAGGGTGGGATTGTTGGGGTGTCTGTGCAGGGCCAGGAGTTGACTCATGATCCTGTGACACTCCCCAGGTCAGCAGAGCCCCTGGGGCTGGGGGTACCCACCGCCACGTCCCTGATGTAGCGCGCCAGCCGGGAGCGATATTCCTCGTTCAGCTCCTTCAGCCGCAGCTGCAGCCGGGAGTTCTCTGCCTCCACCTCCTGCAGCTGGCTCTGGGATGTGAGCAGCACCTGGGCACAGCAAACAAAAAAAAACTGCTGCCCTCATCCTCCAGCCAGGGAGGGGCAACTGAGAAGCTCCATAATACACCGGAGATTTCCTTTCCAGATATTCAGCTTCTCTAGAGTCGGGAAGATCCTGAGTTTTCAGAGAAGTCCGATGGAAATGTTTAGAGCCTCAATTCCCCTGCTACCTTCTGTTATTTGCCACCTCCCCACCCCAGTGATTCCACCAACTCTTTCTAAAAATCAGCGAACAGAATTCCTCCCACCACCTGAGCCAGCAGCACCTTCCACCACGTGCGGAAGGAAAAGGCACGGGGAGGAGAACCTTGGTGGGACAAGCTCCCTGGAGAGGGAGAGGGAGAGGTGTCAGGGTACCTGGATACAAGGCATCCCTCCCTGGAAGCTCAGGAATAGCACGTGGCTCCCAGGAGGAGCAGGGGAAGGAATCCTCACCGCTGACTGCTCCACCAGCCTGCGCTGCATGTCCCCGATGGCTCCCTTCGCCTCCTGCAGCTCCTTCCCCAGCCCCAGCCTGGACACAAGGGAAGAAAATCTGTTATATTTTAACACACACACCCCCCCCCCATCCCTGGAAGTGTTCAAGGCCAGGTTGGGTGGGGTTGGGAGCAACCTGGTCTAGTGGAAAGTGGCAGGGGGGTGGAAGGAGATGATGTTTAAGGTCCTTTCCAACCCAAGCCATTCTGGGAGTCTCTGTAGGTCCAACACAGCCAGCTTTGGGAAGGAAATCACTGGGATGACAGAAATCTCCCAGCAGCTGCTCCCATCCCCTAGAGTGCATCAGCCAGCACCACAGAACTCTCCCCATCAAAGGTGAATCTCCTCCCCAGGCACAGGGTCCAGTCCTGCAGCATCCCTGCTGGGGCAGCCTTTCCCAGGACATCAACTGCATCCCATGACAGTGGAAGATCTTCTGTGGGGGTGAGGGCTGGGGCTGGACTCATCTCTGGGCTGTCACACGTTTGCTGAGTGTTACAGAAGGTGGATTTCCCAGGTGTCCCTAAACACCACCAACTTAAAGCAGACAGCTGATTCTTTGAAGAGCCTTGAAAACATCAGGTTTTCCTTCCAGGTCTCACTTTTTCCAAGGGTGAATTATCATTCCTGCCTTGTACCCCACCAGAGACAGGTTGCCTCCTCTCCTGCTCCCATGGATCAAATCCAGCTGCAGTGAAGCCCATAAATGCCCAGCCAAGCAGAAGGTGCCCCCAACACTTACACTCGCTCCTCCAGCTTCTGCTGCTGCCAGTCGTGGGTTTTCTTCAGCTTTTCAAGCTCCACTTTTATGTGATCCTGGTTTCCAAGCAACTGAGGGACAAACAAAGAGGAAGATGAGGCAGAAGCAAAGAGAGGACGAAGTGAGGAGAGGCTCCAGTGAGCAGTGACATGCTGGGGAAAGGACTGGTTTAACTGGAAGGGACTGGTGCCCTGCAGCACACCAGAAACGGAGGCTGATCTGCAGACAGGGCACGTGGAGGTGCACACGTGTCACCCTCCCGAGGGGAATTCTCACGTTGAGAGTCACATTCCCAGCAGGAGCTGGTGGTGGAGCCCAGGCTGGTTCCTCAGGGGCTGCAGATGGGGAGGAGGCTGGAAGCATCTCCCTGCTCTCAGCTGCGGGTGCTTCGTCACCCCCAGCTTTCTCAAGTAAGAGCAAGAATAAGTGTCCTCTGCACTCGCTGGCTTTTAAACTCCTGCCTGTGTTCGCCCTGGCGGGGCACGGACAGAGGGCACCTCCTGTGCCCTCCCTCGGCTCTGCCTGCCCACCTGGAGTTATCCCAGCCTCACTGTGCAACTGCACAGATTAAAAATAAAAAAGAATTTAAAATGAATCGAGGCATCAGCTGATCCACAAAACCCAAGTTAGCACAAGGAGGTGCCAGCCACAGTTGGAATCAGTCCCCCCCTGCTTCCCAAGGATCCAGCAGCAGGCCCCACACACTCACATTTCTCTCCAGCTCCTGCCGCTCGTGTTCAGAGGCAACTACGTCTTCAGGCTGGTTTTAGGAGAGACAGAAGGGCCTGTTAGATCCTTGTTGTCCAAGGAGCTGGTGGAAGGGCAGACAGTTCCTTACCTTCCCTTTCTCTCTTTCCAGCTCCACAGAGGATTGATGGGCCATGGCAGGTGGGTGGGTGCTCTCTGTGCCAGGAAGGGTGATCCTGCCTCTGGCCAGGTTGAGGAGCTCTTGGGTGAGCTCTTCATTCCTCCTGACCTGACAGGTCAAACAAGAAGGAAAGAAAATCCTCCTCTGGTCAGCACATAACCCGCTGCTCCTGGTGTGTGCACAAGGCAGGCACCCCCGTGGCCTCCCAAAAGCAAGTTCTAATTTTAGTTCTCTCTCCTATGGTCGTATCTGCACCGGTCCAAAGATAAGAGTGATTTTCTAGTTCTCAAGTAAACGCATTTCCAGGCAGCAGGGTTACCTTATCCCTCTGCCTGTCTCTCTCTCACGTTCAGATCCAGCCCTGGGCACAGCTCTGCTACCACCTCTCTCCTCACTCCAACCCTGCACCCTCCGTGCAGCCTCCCAGCACCTCTGGAACGTCTTTCCCCGTGGAACAGCTTTGAAACAGAGCTGGACTCCACGATGCAAGAGAAGGGCCAAACTGACACAATCCCAGTGTGGTTGGGATGCATCCCCCCAGCAGCAGCCAGCCCACAGCTCCGTGTAGGCAGCGAGATTCAAAGCGGTGCTGGTGTGAAGTGACACATTTCCAAAAGATAAAGAGGATCTGAATGAGAAAAGCTCCCTTACAGGTGATCTGGAAGGAACATTGGGGGAATTCATGTCTCCCGGGAGGGTTTCTGTGTAGATAACAAAGCTTTGATGGGGTTTATGACTGGGGACAAGCTTGAGTAATTGTTACCATGGCAGTGAATCGGGAGGATGGGAGGCAGAGGTCATCTGAGTCATCCGTGGAGAGAATAGCTTATCAAAAGATAGCACAGGGTGGGCTGGGGGAGAGCGAGGAGAAAAGAGGCTGACAAAGAGGTGAGATATACAGCTGTGAAACCTGTCAGCTCCGCAGAGCCAGCCCCGCTTGTTCCCCAGCCCAGAACGATCCATCTGCAGCTGTCAGCCCCCACAGCTCGGTCGGAAAGGGGGCGCAACTACCGGTTTAGCAAAAAAAAAAAAAAAAAAAAAAGCGGCAATCCCGGGTTTGAGCTGGGCTTCGCCGAGCTCCCGAGCCTGGCCTGGCTCCAGGGAAAACCCCCGCGTGGAACCCGGCTCGCAGGCACCGGGGTCGCCTCTGCCGAGCGCCGCCGCAGCCGCGGGACAAAGGGAGAAGGAAACGGGGAGCGAGGAAAGGTCGGAGCCCTGAAAAGGAAGAATTTACAGCGAGTCAGAAAACAGGCACCGAGTGCCTGACTGGCATCTTCTGCGAGGCACTTCCCAAGGGCTGGGCAAGGCCGGCTCTGCGGCCGGGACAGCCCCGGGGCGGTGTGTGAATCCAGCACAATGGGGCGCCCGGCAATTCAGAGGCTCCAACTGTTCCCGGCCAAGGGGCCGTGAATGAGTTGGCGGAGCTGCTTCTGCGCCAAGCAGCCATGACAACATATTGGCAAGGTCACAAGTAGCACTTGTAATTGGGAATGTGTAAAAGGTTCATTGTCTCCCCAGAAGAGCGCCGGGGAAGGGGAGGGGGCAGAACCGCAGGCTGCTTTTTCCCATTTCCTTTGGGAAAGTCCACACTGGGAAAATAATGAGCGAGAGGCCCATGTCGCGACAAGTCCCAGCCTGCCAAGTTGGAGCCTTTCTGGCTTCAGGCAGGGATATCTGGTAGTCAGAGCCAAGGAATCGGGGTAAACCCCTCAGCATATGGATTACATCCAAGGAATTCACCTCTGGCTTCTGGACCACGCTCCACTGCTTCTTGGAGCGACCTGGTTTAGTGGAAGTGTCCCTGCCCATGGCAAAGGGTAGAACGAGATGGGCTTTAAGGTCCCTTCCAACCCAGGCCATTCCATGATTCTATAATTCTCCAGGCACAGAACTGAATCCACGTGTTTTCCCTCTCTGAAACATTCCAGGATCCATGTGAAAAACAGTGTGTTATTACCTCTTAACTCGCTGAACCCGTCATTTAGAGATGTCAGCTACCTGAAAATCGAATTTTTGACAAACACACTGCACCCCCTTGGGGACAAGAAGCAGCTGAGAGCGCTGAGCATGGAGCTTTTCCTCCCTGAGGAGGGAGCAGAGCAGCTCTGCCTTGTGCTGCAGTGGGATGACAGGGTGGGTTCACCTCTCTCCGAGAGCTGAACTTGCCTCCTTGTAAGAAATTCCCATTTTTCAGCTCATGGAAGACAGATGATCAGCTCACAAGCGTCACTAACCCACAGCATGATCGTGATCCCATATCCTCCTCTACCAGAGCTTTGCAGGCCATCCAGACAGACTGGGCCAAACAAACATGCCTAGTCTCAGCTCCACATCTTCCCACCACAGCTGGGCATGGAAAACCAGGTCATTTCGCTGAACCAGCTAAACTATCTGCTGGGGGAGGGAAGGAGGGAGGCAGGAGGGTGTCAGTCATTCCATCCAATTTAAAAAGGAGGAGAAGCAGGAGAGAGGAGAGGGAGGAAGGGCTATTGAAGTGGCTGTCCTTGCCAAAGAAATACACAAATCCGGGTCCAAAAGACTCTGGTTAATAATTGCTAAGCCAGCAGTCATCGTGAAGGTGACTATCCTTTAAGGAACCATCAGAAAGTTGCTCGAATTCGGTGTTTTTATGAAGTTGTCTGCCTAAAAGCTCCCAGGCCCCTTCCCGCCTCCGCCCGCAATGAGAGCGGCTCCAATCCGTTCACGTGCAGCCCGCGCAAGCCAAGCAGAAAAAAAGGGAAACAAAGCGGGCTGGCAGCGCGGGGGGAGCGGCCCCGTGTGCCCGGGCCAGCCCCACCGTGACCCCCAGAGCAGGGAGGGGGCCGGCCCGGGGAGGGGAGGCTGTGCCAGCGGGGCCGGGATCACACGGGTCAGCGTGGGCTCAGCGCCCACCCCGCTGCGCAGAGCGGGTCCCACAGCACAGACCCTGCGAGGAGGGGGATGTGTGACATCAAACCCCCAGCTCTGCAAACAAACCCAGGCCATGGCACAGCTGAGGGGCTGGACGTGCCCTGGCCATGTGCCCTGGGCTGATCCCACAGTGTGGGCAGCAGGGGAGGGGGAGATTCTGCCCCTCTGCCCCCTCAGGTGAGACCCCCCTGCTTCAGATATGGGGAACCAGCACAGGAAAGACATGGAGCTGCTGGAAAGAGTCCAGAGGAGCCCACAGGGATGCTCCAAGGCTGGAGCCCCTCTGCTCTGGAGCCAGGCTGGGAGAGCTGGGGGGGGTCACCTGGAGAAGAGAAGGCTCCAGGGACACCTGAGAGCCCCTTGCAGGGCCTAAAGGGGCTCCAGGAGAGCTGGAGAGGGACTGGGGACAAGGGATGGAGGGACAGGACACAGGGAATGGCTTCCCACTGCCAGAGGGCAGGGTTAGATGGGATACTGGGAAGGAATTGTTGTCTGTGAGGGTGGGCAGGCCCTGGCACAGGTTGCCCAGAGAAGCTGTGGCTGCCCCTGGATCCCTGGAAGTGTCCAAGGCCAGGTTGGACAGGGCTTGGAGCAACCTGGGCTGGTGGAAGGTGTCTCTGCCCATGGCAGGGGGATGGAATTGGGTGGCTTTTAAGAGGCCCCTTCAGTTCAAACCATTCCCTGATTCTCTAACCAAGCCTCCCTGGAGCCGAGCTGTGACACGAATACACAACCCAAAGCCACCAAGCTGCCTGTGCCTCAGAGGAGTGTGAGCTGGAGCCAGGAACACCAGGATGAGCACTGCAGTCTGTCTCACCTCCTGGTCCAGCTCTTTCCCGAGGGCCAGGTAGTTGCTCTTCAGAATGATGTACTCCTGTGCCACCTCCTTCCGAGCGCTCTCCAGGGCTCGCAGGCGTTCCCGCAGGGAATCTCGTTCCCCCGTCACCTTCTGACTGCACAGCTCCAGCTCCCGCACACGGCTCTCCAGGGCCAGGACCTGCAGAGGGAAGGCAGCAGGATTAGACTGCGGCAGAGACCAGGAGCAGTCACAGGGAGATGAGTTTCATGGCATCTGGGATGTGTCAGGAGGGAATGGAGCTCTAGGCAGAGCCAAGAGAACATGCCAAGCAAAGCGAAGATGGGTGTGTGAGGAGCTGGACTGCTGGAGGAAGGCATTGGCAGGGCAGAAATTGGCTGTTCCAAGCTTTTAGATACCATATTTTTCAGTTCAAAGTTCTCCGTCTCATACTGCTCCTTCATTTTGTTGGTCTCTATCTGGAGATCGACGAGGTCTTTGGAAATCTGGGAGAAGAAAGGACCTAATTAAAGCCATGGATGGATTCTGAGGCCAACGTGATGTCTAAGCACAATACCCACCCCTCTAGAAGGAGGAATTTCCCCCCAGATTTTCTACTGTGGATCTACAGACCCCTTACAGCCTCACAGCTCAGTTCTCTCCGACTCCCAAAGTTTTACCTTCAGTTTTTCCTCTTCACTGAAGAGCACCCCGGCTGGGAAATCTGCCTTGGAGCCAGCCACCTGCCTCACCCCCTCCTGGGGGTCTCCAAGCCGGTCCATCCCATCGTTCCCATCCTGCAGCTGCACCTGGAGACACAGAGCAGCTCCCACAGGGGGTGCCAGCAGAGCCCTCCTCCCCCTGCCACTCACCCACCACCCACCGAGCTGCTGCAAGAGCTCGGCTTTTCAGAGCCTGAACAGACTCTAGGTGGGATTTTCAGCTGCCATTTTCCTCCTGCAGCGAGGATTTCATCGGCAGAGCGCTCGTTCCATCACCCAGGAAGGGGTTGCAGACCTTCACACTTCTATTTTTCCTTAGCAAGGTGCTGCACGTGCTCTCTCACAGCACTTACCTTCTCGTTCCCCCCAACAATTCCAAGATCCATGTGCTCAGAGGCCGGGATCTCAGCACACTGTGGGGCAGGCAGCAACTGAAAAGCAAAGGAAGGATCTGAGGATCTCCAAGGAACTTCTCCCTGGAGGTCCAGCAACCACTGTTGCTACCAGCTTTGGTTACTGGAGGGTGTGGCGTCCCCCTCGATTTTAAGGTGGAACCAATAATTCCAGCCACCCTGGGAGTTGTTAGAGGGGAGGAAATGGCATTTCTGGGAAGGCTTCTGTATTCCCAAGTCAGCATACAGCAGGTATTGGAATGAGCAGCTCAGGAAACACCCCCAGTAGTGCCATTTAGGAGGTCCCACACTATTATGGGCTGTTCCCAAAGCTGGCTGTAGGGGTGGGCTCCGTCTCCAGTGCAGGGATCTTCCAGTACAGAAAGGGGGCTGATAAAAAAGAGGGAGAGCAACTTTTCCCGTGGACAGATTGTGCCAGGACAAGGGGGCTTCCCACTGCCAGAGAGCAGGGTTAGATGGGATATTGGGAAGGAATTGTTGGCTTTGAGGGTGGGCAGGCCCTGGCACAGGTTGCCCAGAGAAGCTGTGGCTGCCCCTGGATCCCTGGAAGTGTCCAAGGCCAGGCTGGACGGGGCTTGGAGCAACCTGGGCTGGTGGAAGGTGTCCCTGCCCATGGCAGGGAGTGGAACAAGATGAGCTTTGAGGTCCCTTCCAATCCAAACCATTCCATGATCTATGATCTGATTAACCCATTAATTCACCCATGAACCCTGCCATCTGCTCCAAACCATCCAGCAGCATCTAACTTGCTGCTGGGCAACTTTCTCTTGATGTCTGCAGTCCTTGTACCTCTCATGTCAGTGAGTCACCCAAAAGGTCCCAGGATCTTGGAGCTGTGATCAAGCTGAAGCTGGTGACAGAAAAGACCCTTCCCAGTTTATCCCTTCACATCAGAGATACTGTGTGGACAAAATCTAAACTTCGAAGCAAAGCATGCACTGAAACAAGCCCAGATTAGCCTGGACAGTGCAAAAAGTGGGTTGTGCTGGTCTGCACACTGCTGATGGCTCCAAACGGGGACCAGCCAGGCTGGAACAGGACGAATCCCAAGTGTGTGCAAAGCTGAAAGCACTTGAAGAGTCTCCAAGGTAAGAGTGAGGGTAAGAGGGAGTGCAGACCATGGTGGAATAATGCTGGAGAACCTGGAACAGGGGTAAAATTAGATGGACTAGGTGACCTTTAAAGGTCCCTTCCAACTCAAACTATTTGATGGTTCTATGAGTCTAAAATGAATTCCAGTTCTTAATCTCCTCATTTCAGGCTTATTATCGCTGCTATTTCTGTAGAGTGGGTGAGTTTAGGTAAGAATCTGTCTTTTAGAGAAGAAAAGCTTTGACAATTCATGTTCAAAAAAGACCACAGCTCTGAATAACTCTTCTGGATCTGTCAGAGCCAAGAGGATGGGAGGGAGAGGGGCCATCCTGACAGAACCTGGGCCAGACTGCTGGAGCAGCCCCTCGAGGGGGATTGGATGAAGGTCCATGGATGTGATACCCAGGGACTGAACATTCTGGGAGCTCGGGGGAAGGAGAAGCCAACAGAACGTCCAATTATGGCTTATTTTTCAGCGAAAGAACTTAACAGACCTGAAGTAATTTTATTAAGGTAATGAAAGTGCTTATGAGAATTCACAGTCTCTTCACACCCACCGAGGAGCTGAAAGCCAAATTCACACCCCGCCCACGGCAGAGGGGGCTCAGCACACGGGGGAGCTGAGCAGCAGCTCCACTCCCCGGGCACATGCCGTGTCCTGAGGGGTCTCAGCCCCACAGGTACACCCCAGGGATGGGCACCCAGGCTGTCCCAGACCCCAGGACACCCGATTTAGGAGGGCAAACAGCCCGTGCCATCACGGTGGCACCGCCAGCTGCTCCTTGATCTGCAGGGTGCCCGTTTCACACGCCAGAGGGCAATTAAAATGCACAAATACGGCATTATTTATGTAACCCCACCTTGGTGGCAGGTGTCCTATGGGCACCAGGAACCTATCAGTGCTCACTTTCCCCATGGCTTGGGAATACGAAGCAAGTTTTGTCCCGGCCAATGCCACAAAAAAGCAATTTTGGGCTGAGAAACGAGGTTTTAGGGTGTCACTGCAGCCCCAGATCTCCACCCCAGCTCCAGAGTGAAACCAAACAGAAAGCCTGTGTTTTGTTAACCCCACCAAAGGCCAGCTCTGCACTGAGGGTTTTTCACTCCAAGGTACCAGCCTCTCCCCTGGGATGCAGCACAAAGATGGAGAAACGCTCCCAAACCCACGGGAGCTCAAGGGGAAACCGGTGGGATGTTTGCAGCCCGCAGCCCACCGGGCCGGTCCCGTTGTCACCTCCCTGTCAGGGTCACACACCGCGCTCGGCCCCCGAGGGGACCCCCGGGGGGAGCAGGGGGAAGGTGGGGGGAGCAGCCCCCGCCCGCTCCGGAGCCTCCCGCGGGGCCCGGCACGGCGTTAGAGCAGTGACTGGCTCCATCTGGCTTCCAGCGCCAGCAAAGGGAATTCGCCTTCGCTCCTGGATGCGGCGAGTTCCTGCTGGCACGCGGCTGGAGCACCGGGAATGCCCGTTGTGGCGGGAGCAGCCCGCAGTGACACCCACCTGGAGTCACAGAGGTGCCCAGCCGTGGCACCCCTGGGCCAGGTTCCCACTTATCTCCCCCCCAGCGCATTTTCTTTTTATATCCAGTCTAAATCCACTGCCTCCCAGTTTAAAACCATCACCCTTTCTCCTGTCTCCACAGGTCTTGAGGAAAAGCCCTTCTCTGTTGCTCTTATGTCTTGCCAGGCTGCCACAAGGTCTTCTCCAGGTGGGACAGCCCCAGCCATCCCAGCCTGGGGAAGGGAGAGGAGGAGGGAGCTGGAACAGCTCTCCCTCCTGAAGAACAGGGCAGGTTCTTCCAGCCTCCTGATCTTTTCCATGGTCCCCTCTGGACCTGCTCTGACCCACCCAGGTCTGGCTTGTGCTGGGATCCCGATGCTGGATGTGTGTGTGTGTGTCCCAGAGGAGTCAAGAGGCAGAATCATCTCCTCGGCCCTGCTGAACAAGCTGCTTGTGCTGCAGCCCAGGAGGTGTTGGGTTTGCTGGACTGCCAGCACCCACTGCTGCCTCATGTCCCATCTGTCACCCCCCTGGCATCTCCAGGTCCTTCCCCACAGGGCTGAGGAGGAGGGCTGGGGTGGGGCAGGCAGGGAGACCCCAGGAGCAGGCAGTGGGGAGGGTGGTGTGGCCCATCCCCCTGAGCAGGAACCCCGAGGACCAGGCTGATCCCTCCACCCAGCAGCTGCTGTGGGGCTGGCGTAGATCCCACCAGGCCTGGAGAGCTGACCTGGGACAGGGACAACACCCTCCCCCCTTCCTGACACACCAGCACTGTCACCGAGGTGAGTTAGGCAAGGTGGCTGCCTCCCATCCCTCTGTTCACTCCCCAAATCCAGCTTTGGCCTGGCAGCCACTGCTGGGACAGGCTCTCCTGCCATTCCCTGTCCCCATGCACCTCCAACCTCCTGCTCCTCAGGTTTCTTTTCCCCAAATCTCAGTGTCTGGGAATTTTCCCATCTCTTTCTCTGCTGGCAGCTGGCCCACTCTGAGTCATGCCTTGGGGATGTCCTCACCTCTCCCAGTCCAACCAGTCCAGCCAGGCTGGGCTGGTGGGGAGGTGTCACGTGGTCACCAGGGCTGTAATAATTGGCTTCCCTGAGAGCCTCTGGTGCATCCTGCACCTTTCCCAACTTTCCCAGCACCCCTGGCAGGGCAGGAACTGACACTTGGTGATGCCCACGGGGACCTTTGCCCCCATTCCCAGGTCCCCATCTCCAGGGTGGGCAGAAATGTGGGTGGCCAGTGAGCACCAGGCCAAGCCCCACTCCTGGGGTTTGGTCCCTGCTGGTGTCCCCAGGAGAGTGGCACAAGCTCTGGGGTGCTGGTGTCACCCATCCCAGCTCTCTTGGGCAGCAGCACCAGGGCTGGCACGGTTTTGGCTGGGGATGAGGAGCAGGAGTGCTGGTTGCCCTGGCAACGTGAGATGGTCTCCTCCAGACAGGGACAATATTTGGCAAGGTTTGCTAAAAATACTCCCTAACTCAGCTGTGACAACACCACGTGTCACATCCCTCCTCCCCTCAGGGCTCAACCCGAGCTGGTGCTGTCCCTGCTCACTCAACCTGGTGGGTGGGGATGGAGCAGAGAGTTCCTGGGGTCCCACAGCAGACCTGGTAGGGCCACCAGCACCAGTCCCTTCCCAGTTCAGCCAAAACAGGGAGCCAGGAGCAGCTGGTGGCATTTCCCACACACAGGGACTGGGAAGCTCCCTGGGGAGGGACCTGCAGGCATGGGAGGGCTGCTGGGGAAGGTAAATGATTCCTGAAGAGTTTAAATAGGTTTAAAAAGTACTTTTTTTACGATTTTGCTGCTTTTCCTAATACCATTACAGCCTTCTCCATGGCAACCAGGGGAGGAGGCTCAGACTTTGGTCCCGGACAGGGAGATTATCTGTCAAAGCTGAAGTGATGGGGGGATCCAGCAGGGAGGTCCACACTGGCCAGGGACATGGTGGGAGGAGGACATCCATGGTAGGGACCTAAACGAGGTCCCCAGGGTGGCTGTGGAGCCGTGGTACACTGGGCAGGTGGAGGGCCAGGTGTTCAAGGTGGGCTCATGGTGATGCTGAAGGGATTGACATTCACTGGGTTCCAGCAACTCCTACCACAGGTGATGGGACACATCAGGAAGAGATGCCCTGAGAGAGGTTTAAAGGTGGAGACAGGACTAGAGCAGATGCCTCAAGGACCTTTAAAGGTGGAGATGGGTCCAGCTTCTCCCTGCACTGCAGCCACCCTGGGAAGGGATTTGCTTATTGACCCTCTTTATTTTCCCATCACATCTCATGTGACACTTTCCCAGAGAGGGCTGCTGGAGGCAGGGCTCAACCTGCTTCCAGCCACAGGCAGGGCTCGTTTAAACTTCCCACAGAGGTTTGTGGGTTTTGGCTGGCTGAGCTGTGCTGGCTCAGCTCTTTTCAGCTCCCAGATTGATTACACCTTGTGTCAATATGTGCTCAGTGCCTATTAGTGGGTGAGTGTATCCCCATCCCGCGTTTCTCCCTTCTGATCTATAAATTCCCAGAAGAGAGGATTAAAATAGAGGGGGAGGAGAATGGCACTCAGGGCCAAAAGGGAAGGGAGAAAGCAGAGCCTGTGGGAAAGTTGTGTTGCAAGGCTGGAGCCTGGATGTCTCTCTTTCTCCGACACCTCTTCCCATGGGCATGGAACTGCCTGAGTTCAGCGGTGAAGAGCTGAGATGTGGCCTGAGGGGCTGGGGGGGAGATGCCAGGCATGGTGGGGGTACCCATGGTGTGGGACTGGTGGGGGACAGCTTCCCTGTTCCACCTCTGCCTCCCAAACCAGCCTGGTGGGAATGGAGCTGGGGGAGATGCCAGGCTCCCATGGCATGGGGGTGGAGAGCATCCCTGCTCCACCTCCAGCACGGGGGGGAACCAGGGCTGGCAAGAACAACACTGGTGGGAGATACCTGTTCCTGAAGGTGAATGATGCCAAACTTCATCTTCAGGGAAGAACAGAGCTACCAGGACATGGGGAAGGGTTGGTCATGGCTTTTCCATCCAGTAGCCACTGGCCATGAGGCTCCTCTCGCTGGGGCTTTTTCTTTCTCTTTCTTCCCTGGGAAGTGGTAAAAGATTCCACAGAAGCCGTGTTGGAGGCTGGTGGGGAAATGCCCAGGGACACAGGAGGAGGTCACCAGCCTCCCCAGGGTGGTTTTGATGAGCTGCCAGGGGCAGAGTGTGATCTGCCAGCCCTGGAGCACCATCCACCATCACCATCCAGGGGACTCTCGTGGTCACCATCTCACCGGTGGGAGATGGGCTCTGCTTCCCCTTGGGCACAAAAACACTGAGCCAAACCTGTGGTGCTTCCAGCACCACCTCCACCCACGGGAGGGGTCTGGGGGTTCAGCCCTGAGGTTTCTAGTGCTACATAGAGAGCTTTTTCCCACTTCCCAGCTCATTTTCCACTTGCATCATCATTAACCCTCAGGTGTTCCAGCCCATCTCACACCAAGGATGACCCCCACACCTCTAATGCCTGTGTACTACAGATGCTCCAAGCCCCAGGGTGTGGGGTTTGGGTCCTGATGCAGCAGGAGGACCCACTGCCAGGGCTTATCCCAGGGCACCCCTGGGATGAGAGCAGGGCAGGCACCCAGGGAAGGGTCATTCATGGGTCACTCTGTGAGGTTACTCCATCCCTACCTCCACGCTCACTGCCCACACAAACCCCATCTCTGGCAGGACCCCCATCCTCACTCCATCAGATTCCTGGACATGTCACTCCATGCCCTTTTCCTGAGCTGCCCTAAAGGCAGTTACAGACCAGGGGGAGCAGCGAGGAGTCTGTCCCGGTGCCACTAACCCCGACCAGGCTGTCCCGGGGACTCATTGCAGCCCTGCCCAGCAGCAGTGGGGTTAAACCCAGCCCAGCCCAGCAGCAGTGGGGTTAAACCCAGCCCAGCCCAGCAGCAGTGGGGTTAAGCCCAGCCCAGCAGCAGTGGGGTTAAGCCCGGCCCAGCCCAGCAGCAGTGGGGTTAAGCCCAGCCCAGCAGCAGTGGGGTTAAGCCCGGCCGGCCGGGTGGCTGGACAGGCGTCAAGGTGGTTGCTCCATCCATCCCTGCGGGCGGCGGGGCCGGAGAACGGAGCGGGAGCGGGAGCAGGAGCTGCCCTGCCCGTCGCCATGAGCGCAGGCAAAGGTGAGGCTGGGGAACCTGCCCCTGGGCCGGGCTTGGGCTGGGGGGACACGCTCGAACTCTGCTGGGGCTTCGCTCACCTTTCGCTCTTCTCCTCCTCCACTGCTAATTAGACGTTCTGGGGGTCCCCCGAGCTGCCTGGGGGACTTGCAGGCACTGTAGGGCAGAGCCCAAACCTGGCTGGGGGCTGCAGGGATGGGCAGGGACTGCAGCACAGAGACCCCCCCGGCTCCGAGGAACAGCAGGTTAAGGGGAGGCAGTCGGGGAGGAAGGAGGAGAGGGGACTGGGGGGGCCTTTCCCCATGAAAGGGAGAAGCTGCTGCAGCCACAGCAGTATAGAGGTTAATTCTGGGCGTCCATGCACCCGAGGAGTCCGAGCTGTGGCAGGAGTGGGAGGTGATCCCGCACCCTCTCCCAGGGGATCCGGTCTCTGGAAACTGCTGCAGCTGCCCCGCGTGTGCAAAGGGCTGGCACCGACCTCTCCACCCGCCCAACTCCAGCAGAGCAGGCAGCCGGCAGGGGGGTCCCAAAGGGGTCCCCTAGAGCAGCCGTGCCCCTGCACTGACCGAGGCCCCTTTCCTCACCCCCCACAGCAGGCGTGCCCCTCCTGCTCCCCCTGGCCGTGCTGCTGGCCGCCGCCTCCCAGCCCCCCGGGGGGGACCCCCCGAAGGAGCAGGGGGACACGGAGCCGCCCCGCTGCCCCAGCCCCTGTGCCTGCAGCCTGGACGACTACAGCGAGGAGCTCAACGTGTTCTGCAGCGCCCGCAACCTGACGCGCCTGCCCGAGGACGTGCCCCACAACGCCAAGGCCCTGTGGCTGGACGGCAACAACTTCACCCTCCTGCCAGCTGCTGCCTTCAGGAACCTGTCAGCCCTGGACTTCCTGGACCTGCAGAGCAGCCAGCTGGCCGGTGTGGAGCAGCACGCCTTCCACGGGCTGAGGAGCCTCTACCACCTGCACCTGGAGCGCAACCGCCTCAGGCACCTGGCGCCCCACACCTTCCTGCACACCCAGAACCTCGTCTCCCTCAGCCTCAACAACAACCACTTCAGCAAGGTGGAGGAAGGGCTGTTCGCGGGGCTCTCCAACCTCTGGTACCTGAACCTGGGCTGGAACTCGCTGGTGGTCCTGCCTGACAAGGTGTTCCACGACTTGCCCAACCTGAGGGAGCTGATCCTGGCCGGGAACAAGCTCCCCTACCTCCAGCACCAGCTCTTCTGCAGCCTCACCGAGCTGAAGGAGCTGGACCTGAGCGGGAACGCGCTCAAGGGCATCAAGATCAACATCTTCGTCAAGCTGCAGAAGCTGCAGAAGCTGTACCTGAACCACAACCAGATCAACGCCATCGCCCCCCGCGCCTTCATGGGCATGAAGGCCCTGCGGTGGCTGGACCTGTCCCACAACCGGCTCGTCTCGCTGTACGAGGACACCTTCCTGGGCCTCCTGAGCCTGCACGTCCTCCGCCTGTCCACCAACTCCATCACCAGCCTGAGGCCCAGGACCTTCAAGGACCTCCAGTTCCTGGAGGAGCTGCAGCTGGGGCACAACAGGATCCGGAGCCTGGCGGAAAGGACCTTCGAGGGGCTGGGGCAGCTGGAGGTTCTCAGCCTCAACAACAACCAGCTGCAGGACATCAGGGCCGGGGCCTTCCTGGGGCTGTACAACGTGGCAGTGATGCACTTGTCTGACAACTGCATCAAGGTCCTCCCTGACTTTGTCTTCAAGGGGGTCACCAAGCTGCACAGCCTCCACCTGGAGCGCAGCTGCGTGGGCAGGATCCGAGCAAACACCTTCTCCGGGCTGTCCAGCCTGAGGAGGCTCTTCCTGCAGCACAACAGCATCTCCCTCATCGAGGACCAGAGCTTCAGTGAACTGCACGAGCTCCTGGAGCTCGACCTCAAGCACAACAGGCTGAGCCACCTCTCGCCACAGCTCTTCGTGGGTCTGAGCAACCTGGAGTACCTCTTCCTGTCCTCCAACCAGCTCCTGGAGATCTCTCAGGATACCTTCAGCCCGCTCCAGAGACTCTTCTGGCTTGACCTTTCCCACAACCAGCTGGAGTCGCTGGACAATGCCGTCATCTCCCCCCTGGCCAACCTGCGGTACCTCAGCCTGAGGAACAACTCCCTGGAGACCTTCTCTGTGGGCTTCCTGTGCCCCCCCTTCGCCCTGGAGCAGCTGTGGCTGGGGGGCAACAACTGGCACTGCAACTGCTCGCTGAAGGGGCTGCGGGAGCTGTCCCTGCAGCGGCCGGCCGTGGTGCCGCGCTTCGTGCAGTCGGTGGCCGAGGGGGACGACGCCCAGGTGCCCGTGTACACCTACAACAACCTCACCTGCCAGCACCCCCCGGCCCTGGCAGGGCTGGACCTGCGGGACACCACCGAGGAGAGCTTTGCTCACTGCTGAGCTGGGCTGGCCCCTCCCGGGGGATGAGCTGTTCCCGATGGGGGATCCTCCCCTGCCACCTCCCTGCCCCTGTCCCGGGGCAGCAGCAGGAGCTGGGGCTCTGTGGCCACCCCAGACGAGCCCAGCCTTGCCACCACCTCCAGCTGCCACCACAAGGAGAGCCAAGCCCAGGCAATGCTGGATGGGCAGCGGCTGCTGGGATTCAAACTGAATATTTCAGCCCTTTAATATTTAAATAGCAGCCCCCAGTTGTTCCCAGTGGGAACATCTCTAAGCCTCCAGGATGGGGGAATGCTTTATCCCCCTCACCCCTCCAGCAAGGGGCATCCCTGCCCGGGCCAGGACTTTTGTGGGACAAAACAAAGCATCTTCCTGCCACGGAGCAGTGGAGAAATCCTAAAAGCCCCCTCGAGCTCAGGGAAGGGGGCAGAGGACTTGCTTTAATGATTCCTTGCAGCAGCAGAGAGCCACACGTCACTCACCTGATAAATGGCAGCAGACAAATAAACCTTTGGAGCTATTGCAACCCCTCTTGGAAGTACATTTGTTCCACAGCTTGTGCTGCCTCCAGCTGGGGTTTCTCCCCAGAGCCCGCTCAGGGTGAGGGGTGCAGATCCTGGCTGGGGGTGAGGAGCTCACAGCGTTTCCCACAAGCTCTGGGGGGGTGACACGTGCCCAGAGAGAGGGAGCAGGAGGTGCCTGGCCATCCCCCCAGCAGCCCTGTCAGACTCCAGCGCTGCTCCTGGCTCTCCAAATCCCAAAGAAGCGTTCAAAGGTCAGGTAAAAATTTTCCTGGAAAATTGCGCACGGGGAAAACCCGTGGGTGAGGTGTGGGTCCCACAGGCACAGTGGGAGCAGGGGGGGATGGTGCTCCTGCTCTCCTCCAAGCAATGGCTGCCTGCTATAATCCAGTCTGGTTAGTGGGAAAATTTCCCTCTCTTCTTGAGACTTCACTGTGAGGGCAAATCCCAGACATGGAGAGGGAGGGAGGCAGGAGGGGCTCAGAGTCCAGGAGAGAGGGAGATAAGATGCAAGGCCACCCCCTCCATTTGCTTCCTCAGCTTAACTCAAGCCTGCAATGAGGAGGGCAGGTCCCAGGGGAGCAGCAGCCCGTGGAAAGAGGTCCAGGGAACGGGACACTCCGAGCAACGAAGCAGAAACCACCTGGGGACATGGAGGAGCCCCAAGCGTGGCAGGGGGATGGAGAACACCCGTGGCAAATGATCCCAAGAAGGACTGCCAGGGCCAGCCCACAGCAAGACAAGGGACAGGCTGGATCCTGAAGCTGTTGCAGAAGAAGAAGGGATTTAGCTGAATTCCAGCAAGGAAACCAGGGAAAAGCAGGAAGTACCGGGATGCACATGAAGTGCTCGCAGCGCCAAGACTCGGACCTACAACGAGGTCTGAGGCCACGGGAAAAGCAGAAGTCACAGACTTGGATTCAAGAAAAGTGTTTACTGCCTGGAACCTTCAAAAATATTCCTGAGCCATATAACCCCCAACAGACCCAAGGCCTCTTTTCCAGCACGATGGGATGCAGATGTCACAGGTGAGAGAGCTCCTGGAGATGTTCCCTCACATGCAGCACGTGCCGTGTCCTCATCAGGAACCAGCGAGCACGGGGGCCTGGCTTGGGTCCACATGGAGCATCCAGCATGACTCAGCCACTGAACCAAGCACCTGTAATCCATCACTGAACCAAGTGCTGTGGAATTCATCCCACAGGGAAAGCAGGAGGCGGCGGCAGCAGCACACGGAGCCACGATCTGGATCACTGATGTCATGTGGGTTCACCGAGGGAAGAACAGCCACTTGCCACTGCAGCTCCAGAGCCTCTTTGGATCCAGGGGGATGGAGCAGTACTTCCCTTTTGGAACTGCCATGAACAGCAGGAACCTGTGCTTTCCCTCCCTCCCTCAGCCCTCAGTGAGACAGTTTCAGACTGAACCAGCTCCTGCATCCCCGTCCCAGCTGGCCCAGGGCTCAGCCCCGAACAGTTCAGCTCCACAACCTTCTCAGGAGCTCTGCTGTGCCGTATCCAAGATCTGCTGCGCGATGTGAGCCAAGGCAGGGAAGGCAGAGCTCTTGGGAAACTCTTGGATGAAGTCCCTGCCTTCTTCCAAGCTCTGGCTGAGCTGGGGGTCCAGGGGAACACGGCCTGTGGGACAGGAGTGGGAGAGTGAGTGTTTGCTCCTTGTACAGCAAAGATCTGGAGTCAGGGTTAAAGAAATACACTGCCAGAGTCAACTCCAGGAGAATGAGCAGGAAAGAGCTCTCCAGGAGCTAATTGTCACCTGCAACTGCTTCCTCTGGGTCCAAGACCCCACCACACCCCAGTGCTTCAGGAGAGGTGCTTTCCCCCCTGATCCCAGCCCTTCCAGGGGCAGGGTTCAACCCTCAGCCCCCGTTTCTCAGGGAGGCTCCAGGACATCCCAACGTGGTTCTTGGGCAGCTCCAGGCTTGTTTACCCTGTCACCACGATGTCAGCAGCCAGAGCAGGCTGCTGGCACCACCAGCAGGGAGCAGTTTGGATGGCAGAGGAGCAAAGCACGACCCACACCCCAGCTCGGCCTGAGGCTCACGGGGACCGGAGTCCAGCCCACCTGCCCCCTGATGCTGCTTCCCTGCATTCCACCATCCCACAGCATCACAAGAGCACCCCTGAGCAGAGCTCTGCTCCAGAGGCCACTCACCCAGGAAGGGCACCCCGGCGTGCTTGGCCAGCTCCTCCCCTCCGCCTTTGGAGAAGATGTTTGTGCATTCCTGGAGGAGGAAGAACAGCAGGGAGTCATGAATTCCAGAGAGCCCTGTGTGACAGAGCAGGTGCTGCATCACCTGAGCACAGCCAGCTCTTCCCCACCCTCCACCCTCAGGGTCTGTGTCCCTGCCCTTCCCAGTTCTCCTCAGGAGAGCAAAGCCAGTGGCTTTTCCCAAAGCTGCCACACGGAGCCAGCAGCACCTCCCCTTCCCTCCTTGGCTCACAGCATTTACAGGGCTGGCTCATGGCATTTACAGGGACATCCCACCCCAAGGAAGGGTCCCCAGCAGCGCCAGGGTGGCAGCGAGGGGAGGAGGCTCACGGAGCAGTGGGGGCACACGAAGCCGCTCATGTTCTCCACGACGCCCAGGACCTGCAGCCCCGTCTTCCTGCAGAACGTCAGCTCCCGCCTCACGTCCCCCACGGACACGGCCTGGGGGAGCAACGGCAACGGGGGTGGCCCTCTGTCCACACCAACTGGGGGGTCCACAGCGGGTGGAAATCAAGTGGGAGGCAGATGTGTAGAACAAGCAGCCACAGACAGGCTGTGCAAACACCCACCTGGGGGACACACTGCCCCCCCCAAAACCATTCCCAGAGCAGGTGCCCACCCAGGAACTCCAGCCCCCTGTCCTACCTGGGGTGTTGTGACCAGGATTGCCCCAAGCAGCCTGTAGGGCCTCAAGGCCTCCACGGTGGAGATGTGCTCGTCGGAGGTGCCCGGTGGGGTGTCCACGATGAGGAAATCCAGGTCCCCCCAGGCCACGTCGGTGACAAACTGTTTGATCAAAGCTATGAAATAAAAGGGGCAGATTAAAAAAAAAAACACGCAACAGGTGCCCTGAGAGCCACGGGACAGGGGTTGGGAAGCACCCTGGGTGACAAGGACGCAGGGAGGGAGGGCAGGGGGTTCTGCCAGCACATGCTGCACTCTCCCCATCCCAGTGAGCTGAACCCACTCCTGCAGAACAGGAGCCTCGTTCCCACAAGGAATGGCACGACCAGGAGGCATCAGCACCTCCAGGAGGGTTCACAGAACATTTCAGGGAAGGTTTCCCCAGCCCCAACCCCCCCATTACCGTTTTTCTTGGGTCCCCTCCACACCACAGCATCGTCTGGCCGCTCCAGCAGGAAGCCGATGGACATGAGGGCGATGGTCCTGTCCTGGCCCACGAACACGGGCACCCAGCCACTGTCACACTGGTGCACAGCCCTGTCCTGCACCTTCAGCATGCGGGGGATGCTGGGCCCACACAGGTCCACGTCCAGGATCCCCACCTGTGAGACCAGCACGGCCAGGGTGGGCTCGGAGCTCGCAGGCTCCTTCCCTGGCAGGGGGGGGCAGCCCCCAAATCTGGGCTGCTCACAAAGAACTGGGTTAGATCTGACTGCACTCCCGGCCCCCTTCCCGCCAGGAGCAGCTCCTGGGTGTTGCCAAGCACTTTATGCCACAATCCAAATGGCATTGGCTGCACAGGGCCTTTAAAAAGACCCTTGGGGAATTCAGCCTGTGTCCTGCACACACATTCCCTTTTGTCCCCATTGTCACAGCGTCCTTCAGCTCACCCACTTCACCCCCCCCAGAGAGAGTGGGTGTTCCACTACAAACCAGCAGAGTAATTTCTCAGTGCCTCAGCTTCAAACCCAACAGCAAATATTGGGTGATTTTATTCTCTTGGGTAAAAGAGAAATGAACTCACTTACCTTAGCCAGTTCCCTGCAAACACAGAAGGATCACTCGAACCACTCTCCCACAGGACACACAGACACAGCAAGCAGAGCTCCCCCAGCCCAGCTGGAGGCTGGGAAGGGGAAGGCAGAGCCCCCTCACCCCACTCACCTTGTGCCCTTGGTGCCGCAGCGCCAGGGCCAGCTCGGTGCTCAGGGTGCTCTTGCCCACCCCGCCCTTCCCCGACAGCACCAGCAGGATGTGCCTCACCCCCAGCAGGTTGGTGCTTCTCTCTGGGAGGAAAGACAAGGAGGCATCAGAGTCTCCTCCGCTGAGAGACAGCAGCCCCTGCCACAGGCTCTGCTGAGGTGACAGTGGCTGTCGCTGCCCCAGCAAGGCTGCTGTAAGTGTATCGTGGAATCACAGAATGTCCTGAGCAGAGGGACCCACAGGGATCATCCACTCCAACCCCTGGCCCTGCACAGGCACCCCAACAGTCCCATCCTGTCCCTCAGAGCGTTGTCCAAACCCTCCTGCAGCTCTGGCAGCCTTGGGGCTGTGCCCACTGCCCTGGGGAGCCTGTTCCGTGCCAACCACCCTCTGGGGGAAGAACCTTTTCCTGATACCCAACCTGACTCTGCCCTGACACAGCTCCAGCCATTCCCTGGTCACACAGAGCAGAAGTCGCTGCTGCCCCTCTGGGGGAGAAGCAGCCCCCGCTGAGCTCTGCCCTCAGTGTAAGGGAGGGGTAAAGAAGAGCTGGATGTGCCACAGCCCTTCTGCCATTAGAAAAGCAGCAGTAAATACTCCATGAGAAATCGGCTTGTCTCGATGACCTCAGTGCCAACCGGGCAGCAAAGCACTAAACAGAGCCGGGGGCTGGCCAGGCTCGGCCCGGGGCTGGGGTGAGCTCAGGCCCTTGGCGTTTCCTTCCTCCAGTGTCACCCCAGTCGCTTCCTGCCAGTCCCACGCTCCTGTCCTGCCTCCCAGCTGTTCCCTGAGCGCTGTCAGCGCTGCCGGGGCTCTGCTTTGGGCTCAGCCCCCGCGTCCGAGCAGTGCGGGGCCGGTACGGGCAGCGCTCGGGGCAGGGGGTCGGAGCGGGGCTCCCGTCACCGCCGGGCAGCGCCACCAACCCCCGGGCCCGAGGCATGGAGCCCGCCCGCACCATGGCCGAGCTCATCCGCGCCTCCGCCGACGGTAACGGGACAGGGTCGGGATGGGGAGGGGGAGAAGGAGGCTGGGGAGGGGGGAAAAGGGGGCTGGGGAGGGGGGAAAACGGGGCTGGGGAGGGGGGAGAAGGGAGCCGCGGAGGGGGGAAAACGGGGCTGGGGAGGGGGGAGAAGGGGGCTGGTGAGGGGCAGGGGCCCCGCGACGCTCTCGGCATCCCAGAGCCCCCAGCAGCAGCAGTTACTCTGTAGTTCCGTGGCGCTGTCCCAGCGGGAGCCGGGCCCGGGCCCCCGGTGAGACCCTGGCCGGAGCTCCGGGCACCAGGCCCAGCACTGCGGCACCAGCCCGGCCCGAGCACCGCGGAGCTCTCCGGGAGCGGGTCCCGACCCCGCGTTGGGCCCGGTCAGCCCCCCCGCAAGGCCCGGATCCCCTGGGTCCCGCTCCCCACCCCGCGGTGTCGTTTCCCCCCGATCCCTTTCGCTCCCGGGGTCCCGCTCACCGCCCGGCCCGGCCATGCCGCCGGCCCGCCTCTCCCGCTTCCGCCTTCCGCCGGCTCCAAGCCCCGCCCCCTCGGATTGGCAGGCACCGTGTCCAATCGCAGATCTTGCTCTCGCCGGTGAACCCGCCCTCAAAGCTTCGCAGCCAATCCATCTCCCTGGCTCCTCCTCTGCCAGCCAATGGGCTTAGTGCTTTTCCTCGCGGGTGGTAGCCCAATGGTGCTGCTCGCTGATGATTGACACACTGCACAGCCAATAGTGTGGGGCTCCCCTCAGACACCGCCCCTCCTTCCTCCCGCTGTTTTGAGTGACGGGGCGTTCAGCCAATGGCAGGGGGGTGCGATGCGGCCGCAGCCAATGGGCGCCGGGGGGGCGGTGCCGGGAGGGGATTGTTTATGTCCCGGGAGGGGAAAGTGGGTCAGAGCGGCGGGACCGGCCGGGGGGTGAGCCGGAACCGGGGACCGGGGATTGGGAATGGGGGCCGGGATCGGGATCGGGGATTGAGGTCAGGGATCGGGGCCGGGTGGGAGCAGAGGGCCGCGGTTGGGCCCAGGCCGGGCCGGGGCTGCGCGGCCCGAGCGCGGTGGCCCGGCCCGGCCTGGCCTGGCCTGGCCTGGCCTGGCCTGGCCTGGCGCGGCCGCTCGTCGGGTGCGGGTACAGCCCGGGCTGCGGTGCCGCCCTCAGCGGAGCGGCTGCCCCGCGGTCAAGTGGCCGTGCCGGGCGAGGGGAAGCGCTGGGCGGGGAGCGGGCGCCGTCCGGTCCCGGTTCCGGCCCACGGAGAGGCCTCGGCGGGCCCGGGGCCCGCAGTGGGGAGGGATGTTTTGTGCTGGCGCTGGTGCAGCAGCAGGGCCAGGGCAGAGCAGTCCCCGTGCTGGCACTGCTGAGACACCTCCAGCCCTGGGGGCGCTTCTGGGCCTCTCATAACAACAAAGCCATTGAGGGGCTGGAGCGTGTGCGGGGAAGGGAACGGAGCTGGGAAGGGGCTGGAGCAGCAGGAGCAGCTGAGGGAGCTGGGGGGGCTCAGCCTGGAGAAAAGGAGGCTCAGGGGGGACCTTCTGGCTCTGCAACTCCCTGACAGGAGGGGGAGCTGGGGGGGGTCGGGCTCTGCTCCCAGGGAACAAGGGACACGAGGAGAGGGAACAGCCTCAAGTTGTGCCAGAGGAGGTTTAGATGGATATTGGGAAAATTTCTTCCCTGAAAGGGTGGTCAGGCCCTGTCAGGGAGCCCCAACCTTAGCAGGGGGCTGGGGGAGCAGAGTGTGCTCTTGGGCTGCTGTGGGTGCTGTTCAGAGCTGGAGAGAGTTTATGGTGTGGTTGTAGGTGCTTCCCCCATGGTTGTGCTTGGCAGGGGTGTAAGCCCTCTGATTTCAGCAGGTGGGATGCCCTTCAGAGCATCCAGGGACACCTGCACAACTGCCCATGGCTCGACCTGTCCAGGAGCTGTTGGCCCAAGTCAGGACTGAGGCACAGGAAGAGCAGGGACAGGAGATTTATGGCAGCCCTGGCCTGGGGTTGACCCACTGCAGGTCTGCAGGATCTGCAGCCCCAGGGGCTGAGCCGAGGGAGCAGCTTCAGGGGATGGATGGGTGGATTACACCCCTGGGTTCCTCTCGGTGGGGAGTTGATCCCTGCAAAGATAAACTTCAGGGAAGTGAGACTGGAAGCTGAGGTTTCCCCGTCACATCCAGGGTGACTGGGCTGGTGGGAGCTGTCAGGATGTGCACAGGGAAGGGGCCTTTGGAAATCTGATCAGCATCTTCCCTTCTGTCTGTGCCCATGAGGCAAGTCAGGACAGGTCTGTGACAAGGCTGGGTTCCCTCCAGTGAGAAGGAAAGTGGTTTCTCCTCTGCTTGAAACGCTGAGAGCAGAGCGTTCCCTCCCCAGCTGCAGGTGGACAAACACCTCCTGCAGACAGAGCCACGCAGGGGCTGTGGGGCCATGGCAGGGCAGGGCAGGGGCACAGAGCCAGGAGAGTCCCAGGCCGTGTCCTGGAGCAGCCTGCTCTGATGGAAGGTGTCCCTGCCCATGGCAGGGGGTGGAACGAGATGAGCTTTACGGTCCCTCCCACCCAAACCCTTCTGTGGTTCTGACATCCCTGAGGCTCCCCCCAGGAGAGGGGGAGCTGGACCCATGGGGTGCCAGATCCGTGCCCTGCACAGAGGCAGCTGCTGCCACTGCTGGCTCTGGGGAGCGTTTCTGGGGGCCATTTGAACACCTGGGCTCGGGGTGGCCGTGAGCTGGGCAGCCTGTGTGACCCTGTGCCTCTCCCCAGCCTACCTGTGTGGCAGCACCATGGCACGGCGCCCGCGCAGCAGCCGCGCCTGGCACTTCGTCCTGAGCGGGGTACGGCGCGAGGCCGACGGCAGGGCCGGCACACGCGGCTGGGGGTACGACTCTGACGGACAGGTAGGACGGGCTGGGGGGGCTCGGGGGGAGGGTTCTTCTGCCTGGTGCTGGCACAGGGGCTCTGTAAGGGAGCAGCAGAACTGGCCCAAAGCACAGGAGGTTTCGGAATGTTCGATGCGATTGTCCCTCTCCACTCTGACCTGGGGCGGCCTCACCTGCGATTTTGGGGCACCACAATGTAGGAAAGAGCTGAAGTTATCAGAGAGTGGCCAAAGGAGGGCAATGAAGATGGAGAGGGGCCTTGAGGGGAAGCC